GGCCTCCTCCACAGCACTTCTCTCCAGGTGGAGGCATGAGAAAACCTGCTTGTTGAAGGCATAGTAGGTTTCCCGGAGGACAGTGAGCATCACCAGGTGCCCCCCTGGCTTCACCAGGGCACCAACATTCTTCAGGGCGCAGCGGAAGGTGGCCAGGTCCTTGCAGGCGGCCTCCAAGCAGAGGGTGGAGAGGAGGCAGTCGGCGGGAGGCAGGGACACAGGCCACGAGGTTGGCCTTGGTCACGTTGCACTTCAGAACCTGCCTCACCTTCTTTCTCAGTTTCTCCTCTTTCTCAGCCCACTTCTCCCTAGCAAACCAATAAACGAATAAATAGATGAAGGCTTATTATGTGGTTATTCAGTGCCTGTGCCCTCGCGCACGCGCCGTGGTCAGTGGCGGGGGTCAGAAGCCAGCCTCACCTGTCCCCTTCCAGCTCACACACGTACTGCACCACTGGTCTCCAGTCGAAGGCTCCCGCTTCATTCCTCAGCCACTTCTCCAGCTCCCGCCGGTTCTGGTCCGTGTAGTCCAAGGCAGTGATCTCCTGAAAGTGCTCACAGGCTGACAGAAGCTGGTAGATGGTGGGGCCACAGCCAACATCTATCAGGGTATCGCCTCTCAGCCCATCTGGTGCAGAGTGGGGGGAAGACCATCCTGGTGAGGATGGAGACCGTGCCCCAGGACAGAAACATCCTGCAGCTCTCTGGGGCTGCGCTTCCCCCGACCCAGAAACACGATCCCAAGTGCCAGGGACCCACGGCACAACCCCACCACAGAATCACAGAACGGTTTGGGCTGGAACAGACCTTAAAAATCTTTTAGTTCCAACCCCCTGCTGCGGGCGGGGACACCTCCCAGTAGACTAGGTCGCTCCTGGAGCAGAGGCACTGAGCCTATGCCCACCCTGCCCAGCCCGGATCTGATGGTACCTCCAGGAGTGGTGCCAGCAGACCGCGGGGTGCACAGCCCCACACGCGCGCAGAGCCGTGTGTGCGTTCCTGTAGCCTACAGCTCGCTCTGTGTCCGACACTGCCCAGCACCTCGGGGGGAGGAACTCACCCAAGGAGAACATTTTAAACAAGCTCCTCAGGTTCTGCATCAGAAATGTGTTGGGCTGTCCCTGGCTGTCGCTCAGGGTGTAGAATTCTTCCAAATACGCCCGCGGGTCGAAACTCCGCTGGTAAACTTCCGCGTCGGTGAA